AAGTTTTATAGACCGTGTTCTCGGAACCCAGGCGGCCACGTGATCACTATTCCGTAAACAAAGCGTGAGGCCAAACATCATCTGCCCCACCTCCCAAGTATCCCTTTCCGCCCGGTGTGCTGCCAACGGGAGGAGCGTCACCACTTGTGTTTCTCTGCCGGAGATTTCCATACAAGCCAACAGCTCTCAATGCCTTCTTGTCCTGGCCTGCCTGGAGATTTCAGTCTGGGTACTTAAACTGCTGAGGCTCAGAGAGCGCATTAGAGGCCTAACTAGTGCAGCTTATTGTAGTTTAATGTCTTTGTTTTATTTTCTTCCTTCCTTGTATATTTGTCAAATCATCAAGTTGGTTAGCGTTCAAGCATGACTGGTGTGTGTGTGTGTGTGTGTGTGTGTGTGTGTGTGTGTGTGTGTGTGTGTGTGTGTGTGTGTGTGTGTGTGTGTGTGTGTGTGTGTGTGTGTGTGTGTGTGTGTGTGTGTGGAATGCTGCGGTGACCTGTCATTATACCCCCACAGTGACAGCCCCTGTTAGTCGTGAGCCAAGAACCCATGGCATGCTTTATTCATCAATAAGTCAATTATCTTACCTTGTGACCCGCTAGCGCCGAAATATTTACATTTAATATTTTGATTTACTGACTTTACCGGGTGTGATAGTCATTCGCGTCAAAGGGTTGACACGAGGCTGCTGCTGTCATATGGCGGCTTCAGCTTGTAGGACTGTGCCGACCGGCAGTGCAGAGGCACCCTATACAACTCGACGTACCTTCGTAACTCAAAGCAAGTGGTCCGTATCTCAGGTGTATACACACTCGTATTTAGAAATGGCCACTTGCGAATGGTTCACCCGCGATGCAGGTAAATAATGGGCCAGAGTTTCCCCGGTCTCGCTCACACCCGTTTGACACCAACTTTCACTGTCTGCCAAATGTACCAACGCCTGCGGTCAGGCCCAGAAAAAGACTCTGGTGGTTGCTGAGACACTCGTATCAGACACTGGTTTGAAAGGAACGAAGAGTTTCTCAGTCTGTAGGTGCGACCGCGCAGTAGACATACTTCTGAGTGAGATCCCCCCCCCCCCCCCCCCACCCCCCAGCCTGTGGATAGCCTTGACGTCACTGCGAGGCCCCAGCTGGACCGTTGGGCAGGTGTGATCCTCCGCTTTTATCTCGGCCACAGTCGCTGCCAAGTTTACTAGAGTTTTTGTCTTAACTTTTTTCTTTTCTACACCCTCGTTGACATTTCCAGGTGTTATCTTCTATTTGGCATTCACGGAGGCCACAGAACCCCCCCCCCCCCCCCCCCCCTGCGACTTACGGCCTCATTTTCTTTTCCCGCTGATCGGAGGTGTTGCTTGAGTTTGATTGCAAACTCGCCGCCCCCCTCCACACACACACACACACTCACAACAGCAAAAAAAGCCCACTGGCTGCTTCGGGCCGGTGCAGTCTGGTCCTGCCCGGTCTGGCTCCAGACAAAACAGCATTGAGTCTGAGGAGCAACCTCAGACCACCAGACCGAGTTACATGCAATACTAACCTCCTTCGCAAGGGCAGCAGGAAGATGGACTCAGACAAACCCCATGTTGTTGTTTATTACCACGGCCAGTCTGTACATTTTGTGTCCAGACATATGCGGTTTGTGTCAATGTTCCCGTTCTGATTTTAGAACAACGCTCTCGTGGCAAACGTATTTCCCCGGCCAGCTTGTGACTGTGTATATGTACACGGTGTCAAATAGTTTATGTACTTCGGTGGCGATGCGCGAGTGATGGGGATTGGCCGCAGACACCTGATAGCTGGCTGGCAGTCAGAGCCATCGCAATGTGGAAGGCTTGAAATAAAGATCTCCATGCACTTTAGCAGCAATGATGTTACAGCATCCACAGGCACTGTTCCGATCTATTTGCAATATCGTAAGCTTTACTAATGGAAGATATCACATTGTGTGATCTGCTACAGCAGTCTCATCTCCTACACTCGAACCGCACTTCACTCAAATAGGTTTTTTTTTTCTTTTCACTCAGATTGCTACTAGAGCTGACTACTTTGCCGGAGAATAATGAGTTGGCTCCAGCAGGATACCCACGGCCTTATTCCCATTTTTTTGCGACTATCACCTGTTTCGGTTTGTATGGCCTGTTCTGGGATACAGCGCTTCTAATCAGCTGGTACTGCTGCTCCCTGCACTGGCCTCTTGCCCCCTCTCCTTCAATGATTTTTAGAGGCATCTTTGTACCTCTCTGCCAGGATCATCAATGCTTCAACAGATGTGACCACTAATAGTTTAAACCGCCCCAATTGCGATGCCATCCCCCCCCTTTCTTTTTTTTTTTAAAGCAGCGTGATGCATACTCAAACTGCCACGGCGTATCACGTTCAATGACCGATGCAGAAAAGCCTACGATTATATTTTATGTTAGGGCTCGGCGGTATACCGGATTAAGATTTCCGAATGCATTTATCGCATACCGGTGTTACGCCATAACAACTGACGTTGCTCCTCGGCACGCGACAGAATTTACAGCCTAAAACGCCACAACACAAAAGCTTGTGACACGTAAACAATTTGATAATTGTACATTTATAAAAATTACCCCACCGAACTGCATGCTGGGTTCAGCTCACAGTAGAGCTTTTGGTGGCAATACCAGCAGCCACAACAAGCTAACACGCCAACGAGCTAACACGGCAACTAGCCAAAGGACTAACACGCTAACAAGCTAACTCGCCGGCCAGTTACAAGCAGGTTGGCCAGCGAGTGGCGAACGGGGTCAATGAATGAATGTGTTTACTTGAAAAAGAAATACAGTCACATACTGGGAAACCTTTCAGAATCGAATCCTAAATACCATGATATAGCTTTTTGGCCATACTGTCATTCTTGAAGCACGAGTTCTAACAAAACGCTCGTATCGTTTTCAGCAATAGGGCATCACAATAGCTTTTCTAGTATCTAGTAGTAGTATGCTCTGCAACACAGGTGAAGTCGCAGCGTATCGCCGCTTCACTCGGTTTGACTTCTTCTGTAGGTCTGCTGGTCTATAGTTTTAAGGCTTTTGTATATTCTGCTTTTTGTTTCCTGTGTGGTTAAAAACAAGTTTTTGCCTCTACAAACCGATTGTGTATCTGTTTGTTTTCTTCTTCCCGCATCCCTGCGCTGTGTAGAGTGCAGAAACGTTTTGCAAATGTCGGAGTGATTTGCATGTGGTTCCTGCAGCGCTGGCTTGATGTTGCCACAGTTTACTTACTTCCCTATTGATAACCCCACTTAGTTATTTGTGCCGTCTCAATCGGATCAGTGCAGTAGAAGTATGCAGCGCTGAATCATGATGAGGGGATAAGGAAACAACGTGGTAGGTGTCATTAACACTCGCTCTTAACTACTGCTTTCCGTTTAGCGCAGATGGTCTTCAGTCCACGTACCTCCGCCCTTTGGTGTGTCTTTGGCCTCTTTAACCTTACGCTTGGCCTTATTTGAAAATGCCAACTGTATTAAGTCACTTTGCATCTGGGCAGCCATCCGCGAACCAGCTGCTTATCATCTTTTCGCATGTGCTGTCATTGTGGCGTCGGTTGGCTGCTTTGTGCTTTAGTGTTTCCACCTGGTCTCAGTCCCTCTCCTTTCCACGTTTGCGTTTCACAGGTAAATGCACCGGTTTACTGCCCCCTTCAGCCGCCTGTCTGATCTGTTTTCCTTCCTGGACGATTGGAAGCAAACTAGCCCAAAGTGTCTGACTTTCAGCGGTCTGCATGCAGAAATGAGACTTTGTTTTCGAACTGCGGCGAGTGCAGGTGGCACAGATCAGCTCAAACATCAAGCAAGGCTGTTCCGAGGGGCCTTCTGGCTGCTGGCCGTGGGGGGAATGAAATGCATGGAGGAGAGTGGGTCGACACGTCCCCTCGACGGTGCCTTTGTGGTTGGCAGTAAACTGAGAGGACAAGTGACACAGTGGTAGTGGGTTGGAGCCAGACAAAACAAGGAGAGAGTTGGTGTGGTTTAGAAGGGTGGCGTTGGATCGCAAAAAAGAAGAAATACCGGTAAACTAGAAATCAAGCTGGTGGGGTTATAAGTCTCCGTACAAAATGTATAAGTCTTGCAATCAAGTCCAATAACCCGGATGAATTCTGACTGGGGAGATGGGATATAAAGAGCAGAGTTTTGTGTCGGTCTCAAGTAGGTGAAGCGGGGAGGGGGGGCAGCGTGGGACTGTAATGCCGGCGCCGTTTGAAGCGTTGCCCACCCTGCAATCCTCACCTTGTGACTACCGCCTGTGACACGGTGCTGAAGTCCAAGCCCTTTCTCTCCCGTTTCCCGCCCACCGCTTGTGCGTGCGTGTGTGTCTGTGTACATACGCTCTCGTCATCCACTTTTCCTCTGCCCTGCCCTCACCTCCTCCCCTCCCTCCCTCCCTCCCATGTTGCTCTGAGACGGTTCCAGCCAGTTTGTGGCGGTTGGTGTCAGACTGTCAAGGACTTGGCAATTTGACTAACTGCACCCCGGCTGGTTCCAGACCAGACATTACCTGTTCCTGTGTTCCACGAAGAGCGTGTTATTGCTTAGCATTTTGGCCACAGGTGCTCAAGGGAAAAGGGTGACGTAGTTCAAAGGAGTGGTCTGTGCGCAGCATAAAGTTCTCTTTACACTCGTGCCCGCGTCTCCAGGGATTTGAGAGAATTCCGAGGTCTGCGACCAAGCCTACACGGGACTATGGCCGCGATAAATCATGTAGAACTGTGGCTGGAAGGTACAATCATGAGGGTGCCTATTTCTGAACTCCCACTTACATGTACCGAAGGCCGAAATTAAAGTACATGGGTGTAATTATACCTTTGAGATGCAATTGTGTTTTTCCCCCCATTGTTCGGCACGTGTGAGTATCGCAGGGTTTTGATAAGCCCGTTCAATGGTTGAGCCCGCTAGCCACCCCGTAAATGTGCGCGTGATGTCACGTCATTCGCGCCGCGTAAACCTCACTCTCGTCTCTCTCCTCTCTGCAGGGTTTCTGTGTCGACTTGAGCCGTACCTATATGGCGTGTGTGAGTGGAGAATTCTGCCAGGCACAGCACCTCACCTCCGCGGAGAAGTGAATCGGCCGCCCCCCGAGGGACTACGCTACCCAGAAACCCCCCTGACCGCCAGCACGCTAGGAACTGCTGACTCATCCAAAGCCCCCCCCCCTGGGATACTGCGTAGTCCTTGGCCCCACTGCCCCGGCTTGACCCAACCAATACGCCGAACCTTTGCTCGCCGCTTTCTTCTTGAACAGCCAATCACAAACAGCTCTCCTGAATGGGGTAAACTGATTGGATGACTCCTGGATTGTCTCTCCATCTTTTCTTTTTTTTCTTTTTTTAATTCTTCTTTTCCATTTTTTTTGGCTTTGTAATAATTCTTTTTTTTTTTACATCCCGGAGTACTGTGGACTTGTTAATCCTTTTTGTTACCCTTTTCTGTGTACGTCATCCCATAGTAGAGCACCTGTTGTCCTCCCGACCCATCCTTCACCACGTGTTGTCATTTTTATTTATTCTAGCCTTTTATGAACACTGATTTCTGAGCCAAAAGTTTCTTTTTGTTTTGTAAGAGTATTTTATTGTAATTGTTTTTAAAGCCGTCTCGCCAACATGAACCGCCCCGCTGCAGTCGAGATTGCCTACGAGTGCATGAGGTTCCTCATCACCCACAACCCCACCAACGCCACGCTCAACAAGTTCACTGAGGTACGCCTGCCATCTGCCAGTGTGCGTGTGTGTGTGTGTGCGTGCTCCTCTGCGGGACCCGTGTCTGACAACAATTCTCTCTTCCTGTCTACCAGGACCTGAAAAAGTGTGACGTGAACACGCTGGTGAGAGTTTGTGATGCCACTTACGATAAGACTCCGGTGGAGAAGGAGGGGATTCAGGTCCTGGTAAGGGTACACACACACATATATATATATATATTAGTGGAAGCTTTTATTGCACGTTTATCCCCTTTATTTTTTTATAACTCTCCTCTGGTGTCCTCTAGGACTGGCCCTTCGACGACGGCGCCCCTCCTCCAACCCAGATTGTGGACGACTGGCTCAAGCTGCTCAACACCAAGTTCCGAGAGGAGCCCGGCTGCTGCGTCGCCGTGCACTGTGTTGCAGGACTCGGACGGTGAGCGGCGAGCTTCGTCGTTTTTTGTCTGGAGATGTGGCGGTGACACGAGGCCGCGCCGGTTGTTGTGGTGTTCACATTTTTACGTTAAAGGTGTGCCCGAACGTCAGTAAGTGACACCTCCGTTTGGCAAGTGTGAAAGTTTGAATCCAAAGATTTCCCATTGATCCATTTCCTGCAGGGTCTGTGGCACAATGCTAGCGGGCGAGCCGTGTGCAGCCGCGAATTGTCTCTGGCCTCGCGATTCTCATTCGATCGCTCTTCACCTGTCAACAGTTCCGAAGCTACATGCGCGATGCAGCTCAATGTGTAGCATCCTCGATCCCGACGAGCTGCGCCGTATTCGTGCCAGTGCGTCTCGCTCCCTGTCCCCTTTTTGTCCACTCTGTCATGCAAACATTTAACACCTTGCAACACAGCGCACACAGGTATGCTGTAGGCGTGGTGATCGCTCTACCAAGTTTCTGCTCAACCGGTGTTATTTGTTTACTGGCCGTAGCACCCCCAGATTCGTATATTTCAGACAGTTCATGCATATTGCCGAGCCAATGCGGATTTTATTTTTTTCCTTTTTCGTTCCGGGAGTTCACAAAAATGTTGGCGAAAATCATGGCTCAAGGGATATTGTGTGATCTAGACATAAACAATCAATCAGCTGGTTGAATCATTAAAACGGCAACACTGACTTGCTTCTGCAGACTGGAAAGAAACGGCCTTTACATTTGCATGTGAACTGTCCGCAGTGCAACGCGCTCAAGTCGTATTCGCGGAGGAGAGAACACAAGTGTGAAAACAAAGAAGGCAGAAGCCAGTGACGTGTCAGAACTGGTTTCCAAATGTAGCACAAACAAGCCAATCGGTTGTCAATGGCTTCCAGCATTTTGCATTGCTGCAGCATTCCAGAGGTCTTATGATTACCGGTATTGGTTTTACTGGTGTTTTCTGAATTTCTGGTCTTCCCTGACGTGCGTCACTGCTGTCCGATGTGCTTTACACCAGCCTTCTCTTAATGGTCTTAAGCGGGTGAGGCTGCAGCAGTGTTGTTTTGTCCTTTCTAACGATATTCTCATCCCTCGTCCTCCACCATCGCCTATTTTTTTCCCCCTGTTCTTCCAGTCCATTCTTTCTCACAAAATTCACAAATCTCCCATGTGGATTTTGTGTGCGAGGAAAGCGGCTGACAGAAATGCTCTGTCAACACTGAGATCCGGCCCTCCCAGTGGTCTAGAAAGTAGTTTTTTTTGTGTTTTTATATTTATTTATTTATTTTTCTCCCCTCATCTGGTGAGAAAGGAGAAGGTTATCTTACTGTAACTTATCACCGTTTTGTGTGTGTGTGTGAGCACCGGGCCGCAGCAGGGCCACAGTGAACTTGTGCGCCCCTGTTGATTTCCCAGGCCTGTTTCCCAGGTTTAAACACCCCCCCCCCCCCCCCTCCCTCCTCACCCTCACCCCCTCCCCCCATCATATTACTTTGGAGCCATGTGAACCTTGGCATTTAATCTGCTTTTCTCCTTCTCTCCTCCCTTTTTGATTCTCACTGTCTCCTTGAACTGGTCCACTGGATTTCTTCACCTCCCAGAGCTCCCGTCTTGGTGGCCTTAGCCCTCATTGAGAATGGGATGAGGTATGAGGATGCTGTGCAGTTCATAAGGCAGTAAGTACCCTCCCTACCTTTGTACCGACTGACTCAATCAAACTCAATCTTTATTAACGCCTGTGTTTGTGTAAAGAACAGAATATTGTATGTGAACTCGCTTCTTCCCATTATTAGCAAAACTGTAATAAAACTTGTCTTGGATAAGTTTGAAGAGGCAAAACCCAATTAAAAAAGGGGGTGTCAAAGGAATAGTTCAACACTTCCATGAAATACAACCCATAATAATGGCAAGCTTCACTTGTGTATGTGTAGGGATTAAACAAACATAAAGTTTAATTTATTAAGCATTAGCTGTGCTGGCAGGTGGGGGTTCATTTGTGCCTTTTTGCCCTCCCCCACCCCCCCCCGTTTTCAGTCTCTGCTTTAAGCTAAGCTCAAAGGCATTTCTTTTGACAATTAGCACTTGGAATGATGAAGGCCCCTGCAAACGGCACGGCAGGACCAAACGTACTACCGAGCTTCAAAATGAAGCTTGTGTTCAGCAGACCACCTCTCTGGCATCTCGTCTCTGGGTGTATTTCGGGGTAGAGCGGCTCGTTGTTCAACCACCACAACAACGCCCCGCGTGTCCCTGGGACGCTTCACAGGAGCCGACTGCTCCGCACGAGTTGAATGCACAAGCCATTTAAAAAAGGAGAAGCATCTTGAAGAGCAGCCTTGGGGAAGGGATGTCTGGAATGTGCACGTCACTGCAGCAGCAGGGATGTTTGCTCCGATGTTGCGGGTAATAATCCATTAATTCTTTGCCCTCCGTTTTCTCTTCTGCCCCAATACAGGAAGAGACGCGGAGCCTTCAACTCCAAACAGCTTCTTTACCTCGAGAAATACCGACCCAAAATGCGTCTGAAGTTCAAGGATACCAACAGCCACAACTGCTGCGTGCAGTAGGCGGCCTGTGCGTGCCGCTTTGTCGTGCACACGTCGTAGGGGGATCTTCCAGCGACGGGAGATTAAAAAAAAAGAAAAAAAAATGAAGAGTGCATCAGTAATTATTGTGATGATTTGTCAACACTGAGTCATGGTTAATTGATCAGAGAGCTAGTGAGCGATCGAATGAATGAATCCAGATCTGGGGATCCACCAGCCGAACCAATGAATGGAAGGTCAAAGCACACACGTAGGCCTGCCTCCCGGTTATGCTGTTCAACCGCTGGCCAGAATTTTCTTCTTTTTTTTGTGTCCAACTTGAGTCCATCCGGTTTCTTTTTTTCTTCTTTTTTCCAGTTGTAATCATGGGATGCCATTTTCCATTTTGTGAATTTTATTTTTTACACAACCCAAGCTGATGAAAAGATGCGTCGGTAAATGATCTTCATTGATATTATGATTAGGCCAGAATAATGTACCATTTTTTTAAAACAACATTTTTATCATTGAACAGATATTGTGACTGTCCATTTTGGTCTTTGGGTGTTTTTATTTTTTGCACACAAAAAAAACTCAAGGTTCACCTGAAAATGCAGTAATGATTTTCTTTTACCCTTCACTTGCTTAAAGTCACTTTCAGTTTAGGGGTTCACTCAGTTTAAACATGTCTGAAATATTTATTCACAAGATATGATATGTGTGGCAGTTATGTGTTTGGCAGGGGCAAGGACACTTTGTTATCAAATACTTTTGTTGTTGTTTTTTCTTTTGAGAGCCATTTTTTATCTTGGAGTGCAATAATCAGTCCACCTCAGATTAGCCCACCAAACCTGGCTGAGCATCTCTCTCTCTCACACACATACATACACATATATATATACACACACACACACACACAGCTCATTAAGGCCGTTAAACAGGAAAAACACAACTCCTACAACAGGTACTTCTCCGGCTTTCATTCATTCTACTCAACAGGGCTACAATAGGACTTCCCTAAGTATACATATTTAAACTCACACAGAGCCTAAGATTCAACCTGAAAGAAAAGGTGGAGAAGAATGAAAATGGTCAGTTTTTTATCAGTGTACCCATTTTGAAAACATCCCCAATTCGTATTGGTAAATAAATTGAAATAAAAAGCATGTGTCTTTTTTTTTTGTCTCCTGTAGATGGTTTAAATTCAGGTGTTTGAGGTTAATGTTTTAACTGGGGAAGTGCGAGGTGAGGCTGGTTTGACCTTTTATGCAGTTGGAGTTAACCTTGGTACTGCGATCTGTGTTCTGCTCGCTCTTGTATTCAAGTCATCCCTTTAAACTTTAAATCAATACCTCACCCCCGCACGCAGCTCAAAAGCCCTCATGAGACCTGTCAGTCAAAGCCGGGCCCACGTGTCCTCTTCCCCCAGCAGACGGTGACTCATCACCTCGTGGAAGACACAGGATGCCGAGCTACCGAGAAATGACTCCCTCACCGCAGCCAATAGCCGACCCGGTGGAAAGGGCCCCCTCTGCTGCTCGCCTGCTCATATGGACCAGGGCTACGAGTACACAGCGGCCTCCGCATATAAGGGCCAACAATCCACCGCAAACCGCTCCAAGACGAGTAACTCCACGTGGCCGAGTTTGACTCCTGGCACTTTAATGAGTGACTTGCGATTGTTTTGCGTTGCTTGTTGTCGCTGCCTTGCAATAATGCACCTGAACTCCAAACCAACGAGGTTTGTGTGGACAGATTAGAGCTGCACAATCTGCTTTGCATGCGACGGATGTCAAGTAGGCCCACTGACAACCGAAGGGGCCCCCGAATTAACTATCGACTCAGTGTTGATCGTTCCAGTGGAAGAGCTGCATGCAGACGGCTCCACTCGGTGTTCAGTCAGACGATGATGAACATGAGCGTTCCATCTATTTCCCAGTTGGCTCCTCTCAGTGTGTGTGACTGTATTCTTTTGACGTGAGGGGGAGGTTACAGAATTCTGGCTCCGGACCGGAACCGGTACGCCTGGCGTGTCGCCGGCTGTGACGCGTTTAAAGGTGTAAAACAGAACCTGCTTTGAACCCGTTGCACAACAGCTGTGTGGTTGTGATCATTGTCTTACCTGGAAATCAATTATCTACTGGCGTCAGTATCAGCACCACACCGGATCCTTTTTAGCTTTTAGTGACACCTGATGGTCTCTAAGTGTAATTGGAACACAATACGGCAAGTTACAGTAAATTAAATCCGACATCCTCTGAAAGTAAAATCATTGGAAAACAATTGTTAGAAGAACAATGAATCATTTTTTTTCTTATAACAGATATGCAAATCACTTCCGCTAATCCTCTTGGAACTTTATTTTGGTGATTGTTGTGTAGAAAATCACAATAATCAAATGAACAAAGCGCTTCTCAACGTGGCCACAGCGTGAATCAGGTATGACGGCGTGACCACGTGGATCGGACACGCTGACAATCCACAAACAGTAAGTGCAGATTGTTTGTTTGTGTTGTTGTTGTGATGGCTGCCGCGCCCCACGATGTTAGTTAGTGAACTCTCTTGTGGTCTGAAGCGTCTTTCGGTGGCTGCTTTAGTGTGTCGGTGGAGTGGGTTCATGAGCGTGAAATGTTTGTCAGGCCACACGCGTTTTCTATCGGTGTATTCATCACCTGTAGTCTTTTTTTGTTTTAAATGACTCCCTTAAAATGAACACTCATTTCTTTTTCCCTTTTTGTTGAGAAAAGCGGGATCTATCGATTAAACCGATTCGATAGTCTACAATCGACCGATAGTCGATTCAATTCAATTAAATAAATCCAATCGTCGATTAGGACCTTTTTTATTTTTGGTAAATGTCTGATACAACAAACCCTCAAGTGGACATGCAGTAGATGTCATGCATGAAAAGTCCACAAAACACCAGAAATCTTCAGTGAGGAGACATGGGAAACTGTCACATATATACTTTAAAGCAGTGGTCCCCAACCACCGGGCAGCGGACCGGTGCCGGTCTGTGGGCCGTGTGTTACCGGGCCGCACCACAGAAAGCTTATATATATATTTTTTTCTGAAAAATGTTTTATTTAGAAAATTGACCGGATTTTCTCCTAATTATGTGCGCTCGTCCCTCTGACAGATTCCCCACGCGTCACCAGGCGTTTTTCTTCACGTTTACAATTGTCCTATTATCGTGCACGGCAGTTTCGCCCACCAGCGAACACAGAGCGCGGGACTGCTAATTCTCGAAATATTGTCTGACATGAAAACGGTCCGTGAGGTAAAAAAGGTTGGGGACCACTGCTTTAAAGCATTCTAAATATTACAGGGATCATTTTGACAGCAGCATCAGTGCCATTTGTTTCCATACAGCAGATGCTTCTGCATTTGAAGGCTGTATTTCATAATGCTGTTAAAATAGTTTTGGGTTACACTGATAAAAACGACGTGGGAGAAATGTGAGAAATACCTCAACACAGGTATTATTTCATAATACTTCATGACATCTTCAGTAATTTCCCCCAAAGCTTCTCTTAAGCTGTGTAATGCTGTGTGGATCCTTTTGTAAGCGGATGTCAGGAGCCAAAGGCCATGAGGTTCTGATTCTCAATAAGACTTTGATCCAACGCACCACGAGGCCCCCTGCAAACCTGATCTAGGCCACAACATTAAGCTGCCGTCTCTGCGACGCGCCATTGTGATTCGTGGCCCCCTTTTTAAAAAAAATGCATGTTCGCTCTCGGCTCTGTATCTTTAATGAGGTGTGTCTGAAATATTTGATCGCCTCGTGCTCATTTGAAAAAACGAGTACGTTTATTTTCATTAATATTTGATTCGGAAATGAATATATGTAAAACACATACATTAATTAGTCTGTTTTGATCAATTGTCTTGTCTGTTTGGCAGAGCGAGGATTTCCGCCCCACAGGCGACGCTGGTGCATATCATTCCCCCGGTTGCTTCGGAGCACAGCCATTTAATTTTCAAAGTGGGGTTTAGCATCTTTTAAGGCCTGCTCACACTCCCAAACAAATGATCAGTTTTCCCGCTAAGCGTCGACAGTGAAATGTGTCCCATTTACAACGTGCTGCTCGAGCGATACATGAACAGGGATGTAAACATCCCAGATGTGGCACTGCAGATGTGACGACTGAGAACTGATTTTTGCCTTCCGGGGGTAAATGCCGAGGTATCTTTAAAAAAAAAAAAAAAAATTGTATTGCCGGTTGAGAAACGCACCACCGCTTCACTCAAGTGGGTTGTTTCATGTTGCATATCAAAGACATTCAAAAGTCCTCAACATCAGCTGGTATGAGATCATGAAGACTGTGAATTCACTTTAAGTGCTTTAAGTGATTACTCCAATGTGTTTGTAGAGACTCGTCTGAATCCTGCAGGGTACATAATAGAGTGCAACATGTGCACTCCCCAGCAGATGGTGATGGAGCCCTTTTTAAGAACCGGGCAGTGAAACATGCAATGGCCACTGGAGTGCAGTACTAATGCGCGGGTCCCTCGGATGCTGCCGGTGTGTGATGCGTTGTCGAGAGGTGTGATGCTTTGGACGGCCCCAGCCGGGTGAGTCATGCTGCCGCTGCACCCGGGGTGCTGAGATTCAGCAGGCGTCGCCCCCCCGTGCTGATTAATCACCACATATTTCATATCTGTGCAACGAGGTTTGGAGGTTTGTTTAGCTTCGGTCCAACTCGGCCCTTCCTCAGTAAAGACTGTTGGGGTGTTTCTGTTTGAACAGCACAGAATCTGATTCCTGTATTGATATTATATTTCTTTCAAGTTATAAAAACGTGTAGCCCATTTCCTTCAAGCGCCGTCCTTGAGTGGTCGTCATATGAGATGTTGTTTGTTTGTGACACGGCTCAATAACACGGGCGTTTTATTATACATTTTTTTTAAAAGCTCCTTTTTTTTTAATGCAGCACACTTTTTGTTTTTTGTGGCAAAGACCGGCTTTATGTTGGTTAATGTTATTGTGCGGCGGCGCTTTCGGCCCCTCCGCCGGCGTGTAATGAGTGCAAGTGCGCGGTGAACGACGGGGGCCAAACGCGCTGCCAGTCAATCAGCAGGCCTGTCTGGCCCCACATGTCCTTCACTCTCCGGGGGTAAGGGGGGGTGAGATGCGTGTCATCCTCCCACAAGGCATCTCACCAAGACGCCGCCTCCGTTCCCCCTCTGCTGTGCCAACTCCCCCCCCACCCCACCCCTGCCTCTCGGCGGTGGTTTGTCTAGTTTCCCCTCTGGCTTATCGCTGCGGATGGCTTCTCTCTCCTCTTTATTCACCCGCCTGCTTATCGGCCCAGCTCTCATCTTCAACTCCAGCTTAGCCTTTTCCCTTTTGGATTCGTGACCCTCGCGGCTTCACCTCCGCGCCCATCCGCTCTTCGTGCTTTCCCTTTCTCCGGCCGGCTGGTAAGGGGCAGAAACTCCAGCAGCACACAAGCGGTATGTGGTTCAACTGGCTGATCTCCATTCATTCCCTAACTGCGGAGGAAATAATAATCCAGCACGGAGGCATTTTTCCTTCTCGTAATGCTCTTGTCAGCAGCTGTATCAATAGCCCCAAAGCAGCCACGAAAGGCCAATCTGTCCCGCCTCAGCATGCTCTAAGTGGCCGTTTTTTAACAAGCACCTCCACTAATTGGTTGTGTTTCAGCTCTCCATTCATTAACAGGGAGGGTCACTCAATCGCGGGAGGCGGGTGAGCGCATTCCTTTTGTTCCTAATCTTTATCTTCCCCCTCAATATTTCCCGCGGAGCTTTTAGTCGCAGGAGTGTCGTGAGCATTTCTTCCACTTCAGCGCGTATCTGAGTAGTTTGGGGAATGTAACAAGGCCAAAAACACGCAGACACACACTACACGTGGTACTTAATCAGGCACTGTTCTATCTTCACTCCTTCCCTTAACTGTGAAGAAGTAGGACAGGGGCAGAGCAGGTTGCTCTATGCATGGGAGTATGCACCCTAAATATGCATCAATTCAAATAGGAGTCGGAAATTCAATCATGGATACTGTATATCAGGATTGTTCGTGGGGGCCTTAACTTTTTTAGCTTTAGGAGGTAATTTATGAGCACACTGCATCATGTGTCGATGTGATCTACAAATGAAGCCGAAGATATGACGGCAACAAACTCTTTGAAGTACCTTC